TTTGGGTGGTGACTTGGTATTGGTCTGGTTTGGGTGGTGACTTGGTGTTGGACCTAACTTTGCCTGCTCGTATTTGTTTAAACATCACATGATGAACATTATTGTAACATCAGTTTCCAGTTTCATTAAAAACACTCATCCTTTTTACTATAAAACATGACGTTTTCACATGTTGACATTGGGGAGCTGCTAGAAAACAAATGAGGTTGAAAAGTGATGACATTTCCCTTTTGTTAACTTACCCACTGAAACATATTCATTTTGCCAGTTGTTTTGTCTTGCAGAAACACATTACACTTAAAATAAAAAAGTAAGCAAGAAAAAAGTGTTTGTTACTTTTATGTATATTTCCATGTAGGTGTTGTTGCATCAAACAAATAATTGATTAAATTATCCAAAAGAAATTGAGGCAACTATTTGCATCAGCTATTTTAGTATATTTGTAATAACTATTTCAAGTTATAGGAACCTAATTTAAAAAACATTTTACAAACCTGATTACCATAAGTAACTAATCAGAAATTAAGTAGATCCAACTTACAATAACAGTTCTGAAAATTATAAAATTAAGTTAGATCTAACCAATTTTTGAGATGCTGTAAGTTGTTTGCACTTAATATAATATTGTTAGTGAAACACTAAAAGCAAAGTATATTATATATATAAAAATACCTCTTGTTGGAAATACTCAAAAAGCTGATGCAAATAGTAGAACTAGCACATTATTTTTTACAGTGTGAGTTTGACAGGTGTTGCTAACGGTTTGAGAAAGAAAACAACAACTGATTAGATAAATTGAACTAAGTGATGCGTATAAACTAGTGAGGGAAAAAAGTATTTGATCCCCTGCTGATTTTGTATGTTTGCCCACTGACAAAGAAATGATCAGTCTATAATTTTAATGGTAGGTTTATTTGAACAGTGAGAGACAGAATAACAACAACAAAATCCAGAAAAACGCATGTAAAAAATGTTATAAATTGATTTGCATTTTAATGAGGGAAATAAGTATTTGACCCCTCTGCAAAACATGACTTAGTACTTGGTGGCAAAACCCTTGTTGGCAATCACAGAGGTCAGACGTTCCTTGTAGTTGGCCACCAGGTTTGCACACATCTCAGGAGGGATTTTGTCCCACTCCTCTTTGCAGATCTTCTCCAAATCATTAAGGTTTCGAGGCTGACGTTTGGCAACTCGAACCTTCAGCTCCCTCCACAGATTGTCGATGGGATTAAGGTCTGGAGACTGGCTAGGCCACTCCAGGACCTTAATGTGCTTCTTCTTGAGCCACTCCTTTGTTTCCTTGGCCGTGGGTTTAGGGTCATTGTCATGCTGGAATACTCATCCACGACCCATTTTCAATCTCACCCAAGATTTGATGGTACATGGCCCCGTCCATCGTCCCTTTGATGCGGTGAAGTTGTCCTGTCCCCTTAGCAGAAAAACACCCCCAAAGCATAATGTTTCCACCTCCATGTTTGACGGTGGGGATGGTGTTCTTGGGGTCATAGGCAGCATTCCTCCTCCTCCAAACATGGCGAGTTGAGTTGATGCCAAAGAGCTCCATTTTGATCTCATCTGACCACAACACTTTCACCCAGTTCTCCTCTGAATCATTCAGATGTTCATTGGCAAACTTCAGACGGGCATGTATATGTGCTTTCTTGAGCAGGGGGACCTTGCAGGCGCTGCAGGATTTCAGTCCTTCATGGCGTAGTGTGTTGCCAATTGTTTTCTTGGTGACTATGGTCCCAGCTGCCTTGAGATCAATGACAAGATCATCCCGTGTAGTTCTGGGCTGATTCCTCACCGTTCTCATGATCATTGCAACTCCCGAGGTGAGATCTTGCATGGAGCCCCAGGCCGAGGGAGATTGACAGTTATTTTGTGTTTCTTCCATTTGCGAATAATCGCACCAACTGTTGTCACCTTCTCACCAAGCTGCTTGGCGATGGTCTTGAAGCCCATTCCAGCCTTGTGTAGGTCTACAATGTTGTCCCTGACATCCTTGGAGAGCTCTTTGGTCTTGGAATCTGATTGATTGATTGCTTCTGTGGACAGGTGTCTTTTATACATGTAACAAACTGAGATTAGGAGCACTCCCTTTAAGAGTGTGCTCCTAATCTCAGCTCGTTACCTGTATAAAAGACACCTGGGAGCCAGAAATCTTTCTGATTGAGTGGGGGTCAAATACTTATTTCCCTCATTAAAATGCAAATCAATTTATAACATTTTTGACATGCGTTTTTCTGGATTTTTTTGTTGTTATTCTGTCTCTCACTGTTCAAATAAACCTACCATTAAAATTATAGACTGATCATTTCTTTGTCAGTGGGCAAACGTACAAAATCAGCAGGGGATCAAATACTTTTTTCCCCTCACTGTATATATGAACGGCCTACATGTAGCCTAGCAACTTTCACAGTGAATGCTTTTGTTTATATGTTTTGTGCGTATGAATTGAATATTGCCAAATGCATCAGTAAAAAATATTGAGCTTATTTAATGCAACCCTTGCTGTTAATAGATCGCAAAGCAGCAGCATACAACTGAGCTAAATGTTTGGAAATGATAAGTTAGCTTTCTCATCCATAGCCTTAAAACGTATTTCAAGTGCAACTGCACTGTTTGGCTAACATCTGAAGTCTGGGGGGGCGGGGCATTTAGGACGTACTGCGGATCGCTAAAATATCCGAATGATTATGATCACACTTCCTCAAATCAAATATTATGGCGACACTATACCAAAGACGGTTTGGTATGGTTTAGAAACTTGGGAACCAAGATGGAGTTGGTGTGACCCTATCACCTGGACATGTTGAAATACTGGATCTTCAAACCTAGAATAAAAACCTCCAGGCTTCCTTCATAACTGTCAGTTTATTGGAGAAAAAAAGAAAGTAAGTATTACATTTACATTTTAGTCATTTAGCAGACGCTCTTATCCAGAGCGACTTACAGTTAGTGAGTGCATACATTTTTCATACTGGCCCCCCCTGTGGGAATCGAACCCACAACCCTGGCGTTGCAAGCGCCATGCTCTACCAACTGAGCTACAGGAGGCCTTCTGTATTACAGGGGTCAGTTTGGGAAAAAACGAATCCCGTCCGAATCCTCTTCTGGAATAACTGAGTAATGATTACATAACCGGTAACAGAACTTTTCAGTCAGAAATGGCTGTAATTATGTTGCAGCTTCATCAACACGAACAGCGCCATAAAACAGAAAATCAATTGCTGGTCGGACTGCCTCTAGTCATTTGTCTCTCTTAATTATTTAATCAAACCGTGTGCTTAAAGCATCAGACAAGCTCAGTGAAAACAGTTGATTTGATTAAAACACATAGGATGTGTCAATATATGGAAAGATACACGTTTAAAACAGAACATAAGACTCTTGGTTGACCAATATTTTTTTTTTTTAGTCGGGGACAGCCCTAGACCATTCACAGCTGAGCTCGCTCAGTTTAGCTCAACGCTGATTGGCTATTATTTTACTTTTCTTTCTTTTTTTTTATCAAGGGAGTCGAAATGCTCGCTGGCTTCCCTTGCATTCAATACTAAGGGCGGCAACAATGTCACACTCTTTTTGACCAGACAGCATCAGATAGATGGGCGTTGTTTCGCTCGCTCAGATGCTTTCTCCGGTGAGATACATTCAGCCTCTGGTAAATTATGAAACACAGAAAGACTAAAGATACATTACATGTTGTTTTTCTTTTTTTTGGGGGGGGGGGGGGGGGGGGACGCCTGGCTTCCCTTGGCATCCAAGAGGACACGCCACTGTTTGTCAATCACTCCTATCGATTATCACGTTGAAATAAATTGCACGCGAGAGGAGAGATGAGGCTTCACGTCCTGTAAAAACGGAACAGTTAAAAAAAACACACAGAATCTGGGAATAATGTATACATCAATGGTTAAGAGGACAATTTGTAGAAGACAGCTAGCTACATTTTGAAGTGTTGCATTTTGATTCAAGTGGGTCGCCAACGGCGTTAAGTGTAAAGCAACACTTTTTGTAAATCACTTCCATCGATATCACGCTGAAATCAATAGAACAGGGGACAAATGTTTAGAGTGTAGCGCTGTTTAAACTAACACTATTCACAGAAACTTGGAATAACCCATACATGATTGGTTGGATGAGAATTTGCAGAAGCCTTTTATCTATATTTTGGAATGGCAGATGTTGATATCGGGAGACTGCCATCACGGACAACCAAACAAACGTTTTCTGTTAGTTAACATCAACGCATCGCGACCCACCATAGGATATAATAATAAATATATAATAAATTGGTCATTTAGCAGACGCTCTTATCCAGAGCGACTTACAGGAGCAATTAGGGTTAAGTGCCTTGCTCAAGGGCACATCGACAGATTTTTCACCTAGTCGGCTCGGGGATTAGAACCAGCGACCTTTCGGTTACTGGTACAACGCTCTTAACCACTAAGCTACCTGCCGCCCCAACAGTGACAACCGTTGGCTGCTATTTAAGTGATCGTTTGACTATGAAATCCGTGTATTGGTGTGTGGCCCAGCACGTATGACAAAACAACAGCACAAAACCAAAGATGGATCTGTTTTAACTCATTTATCTTGTGTCATCGTGTTGAGTAAAACGTATATACTAACATCACCAATCAGAGGTGAAAATGATGGGTAATTCCCCGCAATTTGATGTGGTCAAACCGTCAGCTTGTGTAACTGTAGTAACACATGATGGAAGGTAGTGTAATATACATTCATTAGATATGGCAAAACAATTAAATATCTTAATTTAGCATGATAGTAAATGAAGCAAACTCAGATATTTTTCTCAATAATCACACATTTCTCACTACTTTAAACCATTTAGATCTACATTTTTTTCTTTCTCCTAAGCACAATTTCACCAGGCGCTCTAAACTAGTGCAGCAGACTGAACGTTTGACTCCCTAGTTAGCTGATATATTAAAACACCTGTCCAGACCTGGAACTTAGCCATCCTCTTAGTGTTACAGCCTGGCATCCTGGACAGTGTTGCTGCTGTCCTTCAGGTGTTTCCTGAAGAACTCCTGGACCCTCCTCCACAGGTCCAGCTGAGCCTCGTGGTGGGCCTTTAGCCTCTCCCCCATACACCACCACTTTACCCAGAGCAGAGTGGAAGCCTGACGGACAGTGGGGCATGTAGGGCACCTCCAGGAAATGCCCCGCCCTGGGGTACGTCACAACCTCAAAGTTATCTTTCCCATGATTCCTCAGCCGGGCGGCGGCCCTGCTGGGCGAAGAGACCAGCTGTTCCAGTTCCTGTCGTCCTCCGAGACGGCGAAGAGGAACCTAGATCCGGAAAGTTCTATTGGGATCACAGTAACCGCGGTTCCCCTCAGTCTCCGGGTCCGGAATGGCGTCTCGGACGTCGAGGAGGCCGGACGGTAAGAGAGTGACGTTCTCTAGGACAGGCATGAGGGGGGGGATGATGAGGTCTTTGTAGTGCAGAGGCGTCATGATATTAGCGTTGCTGCTGTTGATACAGGCTGTGGCGGAGATGCCAGAGAGAAACGAGGCCATGGACAGAGCCAGGTCGCCACTCTTGGAGATGGACAGGATTCCTATTCCTGGACCTTGAACCTAGAGGAAAATAGCATGGTTTGCCAAGAGACTTAAAATCATTACAGACAATCAAGGTCAACCGGTTTTGACAAACCAATAAATAGATGGTTGAATTGAACACATAAAGAGCATTGTTATTGCGTTGTGCCATTGTTATGGGCTTAGCTGTTTTGTTGATACGTGTAGAGTACCCCATTTAGTCGACTGGTCGATAGGCTGTTGGTCACCGAGATTTCTTTAGTCGAGCAGTAGCAAAAAAAATAATAATGTTGTCCAAGACACCTGCCTGGTTCGCGCCTGTCTGAGTGGACTGACCCATTGTGGAGGCCGTGGGGGTGGTCACAGTCCATCACTCTAAAGCATGTGCTACTGAAATTGTATATGGTTATATTATGTAAGAGCAATGGTGCAACACAAATCAAAATTATATTATTTTTATAACAAAATGCGCTTTCTCCCACGTTGGATAGCGGTCGCTGTCCGCGGTTCTGAAACACATCAGTGCGCTGTTGAATTGGCGCCTTTTCCTAGACCATGTTGCTATGTGCATAATAGCAAAGTTAACCAGCATATTGGTGTTGAGAACAATGTGGCGGAGGCAGCAGCGGAGTTAGATGAGAAAACAGCCCTCGCCTTATTGTCGAAGAAATGTGAAGAGAGAGGAAACGCCAACTTAATTAGGTCTATAAATCAACAGCCTAACTGTTAAATGTGGCCTGGTTTATAAATCATCAATATATCTACAGAAATAAGACAGATCCTGCTTCTGTTACCTGTTTGGTTGATAGCCTACTGATTCCGGGAGCAACAAGCCCCACGCAACAATTTCACAAATTCGGCTGTTTTTAATCTTTATTTTGCTGTAATAAAGGCTTTTCACTTTTAGTCGTTAGACCAGCCTCTCTGGTATTATTTATAATGTATTTAGTGTTGTTTACACTGTTCCAAATAGTCTGAATAATTATAATATTAATAACCCTCCTTTTTCCTTGATCTCCTTCTTCTTATTATTATTATTATTGATGATAATCATTATAATAAGTGATGTAATTATCATTAGTAGGCTTAGTTTAGCAGTCTTGTATAACCACCATGGACCTGTAGCCTAAGAGCACATCCTGTTTAGTCTTAATACCGGAACTTACTTAGGCCTTTATTTCAATACTTATATAGGCTACTGTATCAATCAATCATTATTTCGTATCATGTAATCACACAGCATACGAGTCATTCATGATGTGAAATGCAATCCAGCAATTTTGTTTTAAAATAAAATAACAACGACCATTGAAAAATTAGCTTGAACAATAAATATGCACGCAGCACTCCATACCTTATTTTTCTTGATCTGTTTTCCACAATTTATTTATTTATTCCACACATCTGATTTCCCCTTTACTTCCTGCGCAACCAGAAAACAGTCCCCCGTTTTGAGTTTATTTGTCACATCATCTGCATCCGTTTTGCTGTTACATGTGTTACGGTGTTCAGAGTTTGTTCTAACCAATTTATTGATGTGATTATGACATGCTATAGGTCAGGCCCTATTGGCGACATGCTATAGGTCAGGCCCTATTGGTCACAAAGCAAAGCCAAGCATACATGTGTCACATAAAGAGAGCAAGGGTTGAGGGAATAGGGAATGTTTTTCCTAAACAAATGAGGAATTTTGGTAACATAACTTTTCAGTCAGAAATGGCTGTATATATATATATATATATATATATATATATATATATATATATATATATATATATGTTGCAGCTTCAGCAATACAGGCTATACACACTGATGTTCTGTGGTGGTCGCTGCAGCAGGGAGGAGAGAGAGACAACGGGTGCTAGTCACAGTCACTCGCTGTCTTTTTTTAACACAAGTCTGAGCCTGGCGGCACAATCAAATCAATTGCGGTCGGACTCCCTCTAGTCATTTGTGTGTCTTAATTATTTCAAACAGTTCGCTTAAAGCATCAGACAAGCTCAGTGCATATAGTTGATTTGATTAAAACACATAGGATGTGTCTATGGAAAAACGCACATTTTGTAAAATTTTTACCAATCAATTGGTCGAAAGAACAGACAACTCTTGGTCGACCAAGATTTTTTTGGGTCGGGGGACCGCCCTAGTGTAAAGCAAACAGCAGCCACTAGATGGCAGCCTTTACACAGCTAACAAAATATTGACGCCTAGTGAGAGAAACCTCAAGGTGATATTTTCTTCTAATGGAACAAATGGCCCATATTCATGATGCGTCTCAAAATAAGAGTGCTGGGCTGGGTTTCCCAAAAGCATCATTGCACTAAGATCATTTTTCGTCCATTTAGTTTCAACGGAATTACGATGATCTTAGTGCTACGATGCTTTTGGGAAACCCAGCCCTGGACATTATATGGACTTGAGGAGACTGATCACAACTCCTCCTCTTCTTCCTCCACTAACCTGTGGCTGTCTCCTCAGGAATGTAATGGCCTCTTCAAAGTACTCCAGGTCAAAGTGTTTAGGAACGGTTCTGGACAGGTCCTGGTAGCCATAGTAAGCCAGCGCCAGAACCACAAAGCCTTTGTTAGCCAGCAGACTGGCCCGGACCTCAGATAGACCTCCACCCAGAGTATACACATCTAGTACCCCAGGAAATGGACCCTTACCTAAGGAGGGGAGAATAGAAGAGGACTAGAGAGAGAGAGAGAGAGAGAGAGAGAGAGAGAGAATAACAAGAGAGAATAACAAGAGAGAATAACAAGAGAGAAATGTAGGCCCATTGCTGTTTTGTCACACTACATATGGAGATGGTTTCTGGCCTGCCTACCTATATAATACCTACGCAATGCAAAGTAGGCCTTGTTGTCTAATGCAAAGTCCTATAGGACATCTAAAATGTAATTTGTGTTTTTCTTAGGAGAACTCACAACAACACACTGGCAGACTTTTAAATCATCAACAGTATAGGCCCTATGGTTAAAAACTAATAATTGAGGTTTAGGCCTCATTTCCTTAGAGCAGTGTTTATTAATACTGGCCCTGTGGACCCAAAAATACAATTTCCCACTTGAGAGCAGTTTGAATGGCCTACTGACCCGGTGGTAGAAAGAGGACACCCCGAATTCTTCCTTCTTTCAAGTCCAACGGTATCCTCCTCACCCCTTCTGTCATGAACCGCCTCTCGTTGGTCTCTGTGACCAAGAGCTCACCTGTATCCCCATGCAGAACGTCTATATTAACCATCATTGAATCCAACACATTCTTTTTTAACATTTTGCTGTGTGGAGTCTCGGGCGCCATGGTCCAAAACAAGCCCATGGGTTCAACTCCCGTGTAGCTGCCGCCCAGAGAGGGAGAGCGGCACAGGTCCACCTGTCCTGCAGCATCTGCCTCGTACAGGGCAGAAGCTCTGAAGATTACCCCTTTATCGTCCCGGAGTTTGGACCTCAACTCCACTTTCTGGTGTGGAGAAAGTCCATCTACCTGCACGTGCACTTGCTCGTCGAAGAAACAGCGAGGGCTGGGGAGAAGCCTAACGCGAACCTGTTGGGAACACATTGTTTTGTAAACCCCTTGAAACCAGCGCTGCATTAGTTTTTACGCTCTGGAAAGTTCAATTGAACGGAAACGGTGCTGTACTGTACTGAACGATCAGTTGAGGAGCGCGGAATGGTTGTTGTTTGGGAACACTTCTTCTTCGTCGTCAAGGTTGTATGGCAGTCTACACCTATTGTGGTGCATTGCTGCCACCTACTGTACTGGGAACACTGCAGTCCAAACTCAAAGGGTGCGTTCGTAAATTCACTCTGGAGTGCCAGAGAGCTCTCAGAGTGCGCACTGGGCGTTCGTAAATTCAGAGCGTTGTCAGATTGTCCGTTCGTAAATTCAGAGCATAGCTAGCTAGCTACTTCCAGACATAAATGAGAGAATACCTCACTCTGACCATTTTTGTCGCCCTAGCAAAGCTGGTTAAGCTGTTTTCATGTTATCCATAGCATTGGTGACTGTAACTGTGCTGCTGGCAACAATTTAATAACGCTTTATTGCAGAGGTTTACTGACACCGGCCATATTCAACGTGTTGAGCGTAGGTAAATTCATCAGATATTCTGCGTTCTGGCACACTAAGTCAACAGTGCTCTGAAATCGGAGTAGATAGCCAGAGCGAATTTACGAACGCACCCAAGTAGACAGCCCTCGGCCCTAAACCCTCAGCACATGAATGACGTTTTATGTCGTCACATCCGACTGTAACTTAAATGTTTTTATTTATTTAAATAATAATAATAATTATTAATATTATTATTATTATTATTATTATTAACAACAAATCAATTCAAAAAGTACATGGGGGAACACAAGTATATATAAAGAATATACAAAGGACAATTGGGCTAGGGGCGGGGCTAGGGGGTACAATATCACATTACACAGGACCTTAAGGGGCATACACATATTTATAATTCTAACGGCTTGTTTGTTGGTTGAGTATTTCATTGTCTTAAAATATAGTTCAATTTCTTTTTGTAAGGTAAGAAAATGTGGTGTTTTGTTTGTAAATTTACATTCGTGAATATGAAATTTGGCCAAAAGAATAATGAAATAAATTACATAAAATTGTTTTAATTTATTTCTATCGTAGGTAAAGAATCCAAGCAGTACATCTCTCCATCATAGTGTAAAATCTTCATAAATGTGTTCAATTATAAATCTACTGTATTCACAACATGAATACAATGCCCCAAAAAGATGCAACACCGTTTCTGGGTGGTCATTACAAAAGGTACAATGGTCTTTCTTAAACGTCTTCATATAGTGGTTGGCAGGATAATATTTATGAATATTTTTAAAAGAGACTTCCTTAATTTTTTTTAATAAGTAGGTATGTGTGTGGCAACATCCAACCTTTTCCCCAACAGATATTATCAATAAAACCGTTCCGATAAGGCATGACATAAGGTAGAGATACAACATCCTGCTGAAACAAGGCTCCTATAGCTCTATTGTTGTTGAATGGACAAAAAAAATATAAATATATATATTTCTTACTGATGAGTCAACAGGGTTACTCGTAGGTATGTTCTGAGGGTCAGTTCTTGACACGTTCCTGAATAATAAAGCAACGCCTGAGGGAATGGCATCTAAAACAATTGCAAAATCTTTAGGTGTTAGGGGGGTTCTTGTAAAGTGATAAGAATTCCTTATAATTAAGTAAAATACCCTCTGCATTTACAAGTTGGCTCACCAATAGGTTATTATTTCGGAATGGATATTCTAAAAACAAAGAAGTATTTTTATACAATATGTCCCGATTATTCCACATATAATATCTGTGTGGGAAAAAATTATGCTTATAAATGAAGGACCATGAGAAGAAAACCTGCCGATGAAAAGCAGAGAGTTTCGCTGGAACTTTGTCAATATTATATAATTGTAAACCAACATGAAGTTAAGGCCACCAGAAGTAGAGAAGACATGATGAGGAATAAAGTTCCACGTAGAAGTGGGTCTTCTTAGGAATTGTTTTATCCGTTTGTCACGACTTCCTCCGAAACTGCTTCCTCTTCTTGTTCGAGCAGGCTTCGGCCTTTCGGCATTCGTCGTCACTTGCCTTCTAGCCACTGCCGCTCCTCATCTCATCATTCCATTTGTTTTGTCCTGTTTATTACACACACCTGGTTTCAATTCCCCTCATCAGTACCTGTATAAGTGTTCCCTCTACCCCTTTGTCTTTGTGTGTGATTGTTTATTGTGGAGGTTATATGAGCTCGGTGGAGCTCCTTGTGCTTTGTATCGACATGTATACGGAATAAACCTTTATTCTGTGATTTACCCTCCTGCGCCTGACTCTGTCAAAATCACACGCCACACCGTTTTCCTAATGTAATGGGTACGGTTTCTCCACAGAAAGTTGAAAAGCATCTGGTCTATCTCTTTGCTTTTTTATGAAGATAGTGTTGGCATTGTTAGCCTGGAGATACCCTCGGCCTTGGTTATTATGACTCTTCATTTTAAAGATAAGTCCCTCTGTGGCCATTGCTTTAGCTTCTTCTGGGGGTTTTTTAGTAAGTGGGTTAAAATGTAGTAAACATCTAGACTTCTGGGCCCAGATTCACAAAACCTTCTTAAGAAAAAATGACTTCTTAACTGCTATTTTTTTCTTAACTAAAGGCTTATGAAGAAAGTTAAGCAAAGTTGCTATTCCTCAAAAAGGTTATTGGAAATGTTCTTGGAAATGTTCTTTCTCCTTAAGCAAAAAGTTAAGAAGAAATGTGATTCTTGAAAATAATGTTATTGGATTTGTTCTTAATTCCAAGATCGATAAACCCTTGTCTTAAACTCTGGGCAGTGAGAGAATAAACTCATGAAAGCAATTGAACATGTTTAATTCACTCACAAACTTGATCTGAAAGTTTCAGTTTCAGTACTGATTATTTTAAACCCAAGAACATGTTTTAGAACAGTAATCTCAGTCTGAAATATGCTAACATGATTACAATTGCTAGCTAGATAGCTAGCTAAATTGGTTGCCTAGCAACACATCTTAAGAATATTATTAAGAAGATATTTGAGAAGTTCCGTAAGAAAATCATAAAATCGAAAGATATTGTTGTGGAATTACACTTACTATCTTCTGAACTTTTTTTTTTTTTCTTAAAAAGCTTCTTACGTTTTTGCGTTATCTGGTCCCTGATCCTTAGTAATGGTTATGCCTAAATATGTAAATTCTTCTTTCACTGGAATACCATAATATGAGGGTGTCACACAATCTTTGACAGCCATTAGTTCACACTTATTCATGTTAAGACATAGACCAGATGCTTTGGAAAAGGATTCTATCACATTGATCGATATGGGAATCTGACTAGCGTCTTTCAGAAAAAGTGTAGTATCGTCTTGTATCTTAAATGTCCCTTGCCCAAGTGAGGGAGAGTGATGATCGGAGAGGCAACGTCCTTGGTGGAAATCTTGAAGTTGAGTTTAAACACAACCAAGCTAAAGCTATTAATGTACCTAGCAAGCTAACGTAGCTAGCTACAGTTACCCATAGCTGACTAGCTAGTTTTAGAGTTTGGTCATTTATTCCAATACATTTCAGAATTCCAACAAATATGTTTATGAAGCTAGCTACATTTTATAGGCTCCTCACTACGAGACTAAGCCAATTTGCCAACGCTAAAATCAATGTAATCTATATATATATACACTACCAGTCAAAAGTTTTAGAACACCTACTCATTCAATGGTTTTTCTTTATTTTTACTAATTTCTACATTGTAGAATAATAGTGAAGACATCAAAACAACACATATGGAATCATGTAGTAACCAAAAAAGTGTTAAACAAATCAAAATATATTTTATATTTGAGATTCTTCAAATAGCCACCCTTTGCCTTGATGACAGCTTTGCACACTCTTGGCATTCTCTCAACCAGCTTCACCTGGAATGCTTTTCCAACAGTCTTGAAGGAGTTCCCACATATACTGAGCAGTTGTTGGCTGCTTTTCCTTCTCTCTGCGGTCCGACTCATCCCAAACCATCTCAATTGGGTTGAGGTTGGGGGATTGTGGAGGCCAGGTAATCTGATGCAGCACTCCATCACTCTCCTTCTTGGTCAAATAGCCCTTACACAGCCTGGAGGCGTGTTGGGTCATTGTCCTGTTAAAAAACAGATGATAGTCCCACTAAGCCCAAACCAGATGGGATGGCGTATCGCTGGAGAATGCTGTGGTAGTCATGCTGGTTAAGTGTGCTTTGAATTCTAAATAAATCAAAGACAGTGTTACCAGCAAAGTACCCCCACACCATAACACCTCCTCCTCCATGCTTTACGGTGGGAAATACACATGCAGAGATCATCCGTTCACCCACACCGCGTCTCACAAAGACATGGGGGCCCTTCAGGGGACGAAGCACGCACCCCTGAAGGGCCCCCATGTTGAGGGTCAGTGTGGCGGAAATGTTGTTGCCTACCCTCACTACTTAGGGGCGGCCCGTCAGGAAGTCCAGGATCCAGTTGCAGAGGGAGGTGTTCAGCCGCAGGGCAGTTTAGTGATGAGCTTGGAGGGCACTATGGTGTTGAACACTGAGCTGTAGTCAATGAACACCATTCTCTCATAGGTGTTCCTCTTGTCTGGGTGAGAAAGGGCAGTGTGGAGTGCAATAGAGATTGAGTCATCTGTGGATCAGTTGGGGAGGTATGCAAATTGGAGTGCATCCAGGGTGTCTGGGAGATGGTGTTGATGTGAGCCATCATCAAAGCATTTCATGGCTACATGTGTGAGTGCTACGGGGTGATAGTCATTTAAACAGGTTACCTTGGCGTTCTTGGGCACAGGGACTATGGTCAGACACTTGCCAGCTGGTCAGCGCATGCTCTGAGTATGCCTCCTGGTAACCCATCTGGCCCTGTGGCCCTGTGAATGTTAACCTGTTTAAAGGTCTTACTCACATCGGCTATGGAGAGCGTGATCACACAGTCGTCTGGAACAGCTGGTGCTCTCATGCATGGTTCAGTGTTGCTTGCATCGACGCGAGCATAGAAAACATTTAGCTCATCTGGTAGGCTTGCGTCACTGGGCAGTTCGCAGCTGGATTTCCCTTTGTAATCTGTGATAGTTTGCAAGCCCTGCCACATCCGACGAGCGTCAGAGCAGGTGTAATAGGATTCAATCTTAGTCCTGTATTGACGCTTTGCCTGT